TTATCGCATCCAACCTGGTGTGGTGCGAGCGGCCTTTGCAGCTTACCTCCTGCGTGACCCGGATTATGCCTCGGAAATGGATCCGTCCACGTTCAGGTTTGGGACTTCGTTCCCTTTCTGGCTCCGTTACGAGGTTCCGGAGTCGTCCTGGCTAGCAGACTGCCCCTTGTTTGGTCTGGATTCCTGGCATTCCTTCTGTCGTTCCCGCACGCTGGAGTGGCGGGAAGCTTCCACGGTGCTTCAGGTTTTCCTGGGGGGTGAACTTGAGTACCTGAATGAGTGCTTGTTTGCCCCTGCCCTTCCCCGCGATGTGGGCGTTATTCAGCTCCATGTGCAGGTTCCCTCCCTTTCGGCGGCGCTCGTGGCGGAGGACTTGCGCGCTCGGGGCCTTTTGTGTTCGGCCTTGCGGTTCTTTTCCCTCCTGGAGCTGTCTTCGGATTGGCTCGTGGAGGATGTGGGGACGCTTGGGTCCGTCCCGGGGTCCGGCACCTTGTCCTCGGCTGCGCGTTCGTCGGCTGCCTTGTTGAAGCTGTTCACGCCGATTTTGCGGGATGCGGTTTCCCTGTTCTATGCTTCCCGTCTCGCGTGTCGGCAGGCGGTGCTGGGTTCCTCCGTGGAATCTGCTTGGGCTCTGGCTCTTAGGCGTTCTTCACCTTTTTGTCCTCTCCTGTTTGGGGAGTCGGCCGTGGCGCAGTTTATTCAGGCTGCGTCGGCGGCTTGTCGTCCGATGTCGGACTTGTTGGTTTTCCGGGGGTCCCGGGGTGGGTCTTCCCGGAAAGGTCGTGCCAGGGCTCGGGGTTCCTCTCGTCGTGGTAGGCCTCTGGTGTCAGGTTTGGGGTTGGCTCCTCCTGCGGACCCTCCCTCGTCTGGTCGGCGCGGTGTTCGCGCTGTGCGGGGTTCTGGGTCTCGTAAGGGTCGCCGGCCCTTTCGCGGTTTGCCCCTTTGACGGGGCGATGGGGGGGCGGCTTGCGCTGTTCGCCCGCGCCTGGTCCCACGATTCGTGGGCCTTTCGGGTCGTGTCTCGCGGCCTGCGGTGGCGTTGGGTGGCCCCTCCCCTCTTTGGGGGGTCGGGGCTGGCAGGGCAGGCTTCTTCCCCTGCGCTCTGTCGAGTCGTCTTGGAGTGGGTACGCTTGGGCGTCGTCGAAACGACGTCGTCCCTCAGATGGGTTTCCCGTCTGTTTCCGGTTCCGAAACGGGACTGCGCGGACCTGCGGTTCATTCTGGACTTGTCCCGTCTGAACCCCTGGGTTCATTGCCCCTCCTTTCGGATGACTACGCTGTCTCAGGTTCGGCTCCTCTTGGAGCCGGGAGCTTGGATGGTGTCCCTGGACCTCCGGGACGCTTATTGGCATGTCCCGATTCATCCGCGGTTCAGGGACTGGCTCGGTTTTGTAGTGGGGCGTCTGAGTTACCGCTTTCGTTGTCTCCCGTTCGGGTTGAACCTGGCACCTCGCGTGTTCACACGCCTTACACGGGTTGTGGTGGCTCGTTTGCGTCTCCTAGGTGTTCGGGTGTTGGCCTACCTCGACGACTGGCTGGTTTGGGCTCCCAGCCAGTCAGCTTGCTTGCTAGCCAGGGATTTGGTTCTTTCCCAGCTCGCCGGGTTCGGGTTCTTGGTGAACTGGAGGAAGTCCCATCTGGTTCCCTCTCAGGTTCGGACTTGGCTGGGTCTCGTGTGGGACTCTCGAACCGCCTCCTTGTCTCTCCCTCCGGAGTCTCTCCTGCGGCTGCGGTCCCGCCTTCGTCTGTTTCTGGAGGGCCCTCGGGTCACCCGGCGGTTGCTCGAGGGGCTGTGCGGGAGCCTGAACTTCGCGATGGTGGTCTACCCGCCGGGTCGGGTTTGGCTTCGACGGCTGTTCTGGTTCCTTCGGGGTTCCCCCTTCCGCCTCTCTCGCGATCGCAGAGTTCGACCCCCGGGGGACTTGCGTCGGTTGCTGCGTCACCGGCTTCCTCTTCGGGTTTTTCGGGGTTCAGTGCCTTGGCGCCTACCCGAGCCCTCGCTCGATGTGTACACGGATGCGTCGTCTCTCGGCTGGGGTTTTGTGACCAGTGCTCACCAGGCCGGCCAGGGGCGTTGGGATCCGTCCTTCCGTCGAGCTCACAGTACGGTGCGGGAGTTCGCGGCAGTGTGGTTTGCTCTGGGGAGGATTCGGGTGGCCCGCGGATCGACGATTCGGCTCCATTCGGACTGCTCTCCGGTGGTTCATTGCCTGAACCGCGGGGGTTCGATGCGGTCCTTGTCTCTTTGGGGTTGGTCGCTTCGGGTGACTCGTCTGCTGAGTTCTCGGGGTTTGGCTCTCCTGGCGGTTCACGTACGGGGCGTGTCCAACGTCTTGGCCGACGCCCTGTCTCGCTTCGTTCCCCTCTCCACGGAGTGGACGGTCGACGACGAGTCCTTCCGTTGGCTTTGCCAGACGTTCGGGCGCCCCGAGGTGGACCTCTTCGCGTCGGCGTGGTCGCGGCGTCTTCCCGTTTATGCGGCGCCCTTCCCCGATTGCGAGGCCGTCGGGGTCGATGCCTTTCGGCTCGACTGGTCGAGGTGGGGGTTCCTGTACCTCTTTCCCCCGGTTCGGCTGTTGCTCCAGGTCCTGACTCGCTTAGAGACTTACCAGGGGAGAGTTGTCCTTCTGGCCCCTTGGTGGCCGGCCCAGCCTTGGTTTCAGGCGCTGGTTGCTCGGTGTCCGAACCCGAGGGTTTTCCCGCGGCTCCGCCTCTTTCAGCAGATCGGGCCGGTACGTCACGTAGCTGGTTCGATCTTCTCCTCGAGTCTTCGCGTATGGTTTTTTTGACTCGAGTCTATCATCATCTCTATGGTGATCAGGTGGCCTCCTTGTTGGTGTCCCACCTGAGGGCTTCTTCTCGGCGGCAGTATGAAGTTTCCTGGCGGTCCTTCCGTTTCTTTTTGCGTCTTCGTCGTGTTAGCTCCTTGTCTGTTCGGGTGGTCTTGTCCTTCCTCTCGTGGTTGTTTCAGGACCGTCATCTTATGCCTAACACTGTCGCTTCGTATCGTGCGGCGCTGGCGGAGCCGCTTCAGCTTGCTTTCGGTATCGATGTTACGTCTGCGCCGTTTCGCAAGCTGTCTCGTGCATTGTTTCACCTCCGGCCTGCTCATGCGTCGCCTGAGCCGTCCTGGTCTTTGGACAGAGTGCTCGCTTTCCTTTCATCTCCTCGTTTCGTTGTGGCCCCTTCGGTCCAGGATTGTTTTTCCAAGGCACTTTTCTTGTTGGCTTTGGCCTCTGGGGGTCGGGTAGGGGAGCTTCATGCTCTCCTCCGGCGCAGGGGTTTCTGCTCTTTTGGTCGTGGTGATAGTTTTGTTCGTTTGCAGCCGTCTCCTTCTTTTCTGGCGAAGAATGAGACTGCTGCGTTCCGGAGGGGTCCATGGGTGGTTGATGCTTGGTTGGTCAGGCCGGGGGTGCATCATGTTTTGTGTCCGGTTGCGGCGCTTCGCCGTTATTTGCACAGTGTGTCCGGGGACGCGCTGTGGGTGATCCGGTTTCCCTTCTTCCCTGTTCGCGGGTTCGGGTCTCTCAGGTCGTCCGCAGGGTTATTAGGTCTCCAGCCTGCGGTCTATCCCCGTGCCCATGACGTTCGTAAGTTCGCGGCTCTTGCTGCCGTCTTTGGGAATATGTCTTGGTCTGATATTCGGGCGCGGGGATTTTGGCGGTCGAACAGGGTCCTGGCTGCTCGTTACCTTGTGAATGTCCCTGGCTCGTCGGGCCTGTGTTGCTTTGGGTCGGCGGTTGCAGCCAGTTGTCTCGGCTTCGAGTTGAGGGGTGAGCGACGACCGCCTCCCGGGTAAGTCCCTCTTTTTCTGTCTGTGGGTAGTTAGCTCCGGGGAGCCGACGGGGCTCCCCCCAGAAAACCAGCGTTGAATGTAATGAAACGCCATTTTCTGGGTGAGTCCCGGAGGCTCCCCGGCATCCCTCCCTCCCTCCGGTCGGCGGTTTTTCGCGTTTTTGACATCCAGCCTCAAGAACTGAGGTGTGGGTAGCCGGCGCGGGGGGTCTGGGGCTCCCCCTTCCCCCTCCCGGGGAGGGGGGAGCTGCGCAGACAGCGGCGCGGCAGTGTGTGACGTCACACTAGTTTGCTTGTTTTCGGTTGGGGAGTTCTATCCACTAGTTCGGTTTTAGGTAGCAATTTTAACCAGAATAGGGGTTTGTTTTGGGGCGCTTACCTTTCTGGGTGCCTGTTCCGGTCGATGGCAGACATAGAATGCTTCCAACTACACGGGGGCTTCTATAGGCCATTGCTCCCCTTGCCTCTCTGAGGGGGCCCGGTTCTGGCCGTGGTCCCCGGTAGGCCTAAGAACTCCATACACATGACTGATGCCAAAGTCTGACATTAGCATATCAGCCTGGGATAGCTCCGGGGAGCCTCCGGGACTCACCCAGAAAATGGCGTTTCATTACATTCAACGCTGGTTTTTTTCTTAGGGGTATGCGGTTTGAACATATTTCTAGTGCTACTGAGCTTATTTTTTCCAGGCACTGGTTCAGGTTTGCATTTTCTAGCTGTTCTTCCCAGTTTATTTCTGTGAAGTCCTGGTTTATTTGCTCCCAGTTTATCTGTTTATTATTGAAGTTGAATTTGCTGAAATCTCCTCCACCAGGAATCTGGACTGGTTTTGAAGGTCTACTCCCCATGGTTGTCATAACTTCAATTAAGTTGTGATCTGAGTAACAGGTATTTGTAATCATTATGTTCCTGATCAATTAAAATACAGTACAGCTGGAAACGATCATCAAGGCAAATGGGGGGGGAGGGGACCTTTGACAAGCTGCCGGCTTCCTGTCCTCAAGGCCACAAGTATTAGTGGCCCTCTGGTATATTCAGGTAAATAATATTTAGACAAGTTTTCAAGCCTGAGTACAATCTCGGCTTCCTGTCCTTACATACCTTCCATGTGCTATAAACACATACTGGCTTACCACTTATTCTTCAAAATAACTTATGTTTTAAGCTTTTCTAATGGTTTATTATTATAATGAAATCTCATCTAGGCTCCTTTGGTAGACATCATTCTCGTTCATGGCATCAAAGGCGGTGCAGCATGGACGTGGCGCCAACATGATCAAGAGAGACAGAGGCCACTGTTGTCGCAAGAGAATCGTAGAGATATTCTTAAGGGACTTCATAAAGAAGGTAATTTTGCCTCTCTTAACTATTGAATTGTTTCTCATTTTCTTTAGGTTTATGCAAGATAAAAGGCAGTAGTTACGATGAACAGAATGAAGTAAATTTTGAAATAATAGGAGTGGAAGAAAGTTAGAGTAATAAGTGAGGAGCATGGTTGTTAATGAATGAAGTGTGTTATAGAGTAGTGAGTGACTTCTCATGTTGCAGATCATTGTGCTTGTGTATGAAATTAAGGCTTGGAAAGAAATTATGCTGGGTTTTATTGTGTGTGTCGTGTGTGATGACAGAGATGAGACTGAAACCAAGACTTAATGAGCTATCACATTCTGTTGCTTACTAAACTAAACATGTGCTGCTTTATTTGACTGTCAGCCATGACAATATCCTTGCACTGGTGACACAGAGACTTAACATTATCCCTGTAAGGAACTTAAAGGTGTTAGGAAGCCATTAGAGAATATTCAGTCCATCTCAGAATGAACTAGAGTTAATTCATACCACAGTACTTCCAAACACTCCCTTGTCATCACAAGTGACTGCCAATTAAGGGCTTCAGGAACTACTCATTAGCCTATCTGATCACCTAAGTTGATCACTACTGTAAGGAGAGCAGGTCATAATGTCTGGCAGACAAATCGCACATTTCCTAAGCTTCACTATTGTGCTGCCTTATTCAGAGTCTCCTCTTGCATAGCCTGTTCAGTGGTGATCACTGTGCTGGTGCCTTCACTTTCTGATGAGTCGACTTGATAATGGTCAAAGACGGAACAAAACATTGTCATTTCTTCATTTTCTGATGTGTGTGGTTTAGTTGTCATTTCTGGGGGGGGGGGCCCCCGTCGGCTCCCCGGAGCTTTACCAGGCTGATATGCTAATGTCAGACTTTGGCATCAGTCATGTGTATGGAGTTCTAGGGCCTACCAGGGACCACAGCCAGAACCTTCCACGGCCTTCCAGCCCCAGACCTCCCACGCCGGCTATCCACCCATCAGTTCTTTGGCTGATGCTATAGGCACCGGTTATGTGCTCCGACTCCAGTAGTTGTTTCAGCACTGTACCTAGAGTGTGGTGTCTGTCTTCTAGGTGGTGCGTGAGCCGGGAGTGTGTCTCCAGTACTCGGGCTGCATGCGCCTAGGGTTTCCTTCCCTAGGTGCCCTGTAAGTACTGCCCTTGGGGCTTGGGGCTACCTTCCACAAGTTCCTGGGTCCTGCCCCTGCTAGGCTGTTTACTGCTTGGTTTTCGGCTGCCCTTTGTGTGCTCGGGTGTTCTGTCTTCCTTGTTCGCCTTATGGTAAGGGGCAGTTTTGCACTGGTGTGGCGCGGGGTACTGTGCAGCTTGTCTTTACTGATCATGGCGGCCGGCTCTGTACCGCTTGGGAACACTGCCCTCTTGCGGGGTTTTCTTTTTCTTTTTGTTTATCTACCTGGTGGGGGGGTCTGCCTTCGTTCTTGCCCCTTGTGTCCTTTGTGTTCTGAGTATTTTCTGGTGGTACCCCCTGCTAGGTCCCCGTGAGTGTACACGTCCCGGGGGTTCAGCTCTTAGAAAGTTGTTTGGTAGCTTTGGGCGCCGGATAGCAGTACCCTGCCTGGGATTATCTGAGCGCGAGTCCTCTTATAGTAAACTCTCGGGACCCTGGGAAACCCCTGGGGGGCGCGTGGGTCCGATGGATGTGACCCCAGAGTCCCCCCCCCTCGTTTCCAGCGAGTTTGAGGGTTGCTCTCACCCTTTGTCTCTGGGTAACTCTCTGTTTTGCCTCCGTCTGCTGCCTGTGGGGTCGGTGACACCTTCGACCCGAAGTCCTGCGAGTTTTGTTGCTCATTGTGGCTCGGTTACCCAGTTGTGCTCACTAAGCGGGTGCGGGCAGCAGGGGCGTTGCACTTTGAGCCTTGGTGGTGGCAACGCTCTCGTGGTTTACTCCCCGGGAGCCCCGGGGCTACCCCGTTTTGGTTCGTGTTGGTTGCTTCGGTTCCTTCCACGCCCCCTTGTCTTTCCCCTGGATCCCCCTTCTTGCCTGCATCCGGTTCCTTACCGTCTGTAGGATCGGGGCGGGGTTTGATGGTGTTGAGACTCGGGCAGTCTCGGGGAATTCCCCTTCCGGGGTAGTGACGGGGGCATTGAGCCTGTTCCTCCAGCCGTCTTGTAAGAGTCTGCCAGTGGGCTTCCTTCCTTAGTGTTTTCGTGGCTGCCCCGGTTTTCTGGTACGGCCAGGGCTTTGGGGGGACGGCTTGGCCCCGGGGCCTGTCGTGTCGGTTCCCGGGGCTGGGGAGGGGCTGACTTGGGGGGCCCTTGGCCCCGTAGGACCCCGTGGGTTTTTTTCTCCCCCTCTAGGCGGGGCTTGTGGTTACGCGGAGTAGGGTCTTTCCTCCCCACTCGCCGTACATGCTGTTGGGCGTCGGCCTCTCCCCGGGCTCGGTTCCTTGGCCTTTGAGTCGGTTGGTTGCATCCTGTGGGTGGATACTTCCCCCCCCCCCCATTTTTGGGACGGTGTCTTCATCATGTTTCCCCGTTCTTGGGGTTCTACGTGACTTCTGGTCTCCGGTGCGCCTGCGCCTTTGTGTTCCTTCAGGACTAGTGTTGGCTTCTGTGTTCTCGAGGGTTCAGGAAGGTTTTCGCTACTTCCCGCATTATTGGAACGTCTGTCGGCTCCTCGTCCGGGTCGCCGTTTTGGGCTACTTGTAACCCGGTTGGGCTACTTGTGGCCCTGTTGGGCTACTTGTGGGTCGGTTGGGCTACTTGTAGCCCTGTTGGGCTACTTGTGGTCCGGTTGGGTACCTTTTTGGGCTCTGTCTTCACTTCGTTGGCCGGTTTTGTTCTTGTTTCCTCTTTTGGCTACTTTTCTAGGGCAGTAGTCCTGGTTGGCGCCTTCCCGCAGAGAGGGTTGTGCGGTTCGGCCAGCGTGTCATGCTCATGTGCCGTGGAGTTTGTTTTGGTCTGGGCGGTGTGTTTCAGTGCTGGTGTTTTGTGCCCTTCTTTCTCAGGTGCTTCGCCTCTCGCTCTTCTCCCTAGCTGCGGTATGTGCCCCTTCGCTCCGGGGGTGTCCTAGTTTCCAGCTGTGGGGAGGACACCGAGGTTTTCCCTATGTCATGGGTGTGGGCCGCCTCCTTCGCCTCTACCCTGCACTCCTGCGGGTCCGGCTCTGGCGTCTTCACCTGGTGGTGCTCCCAGGATCTTCTGGGCACGGTTGAGTCATGTCACGTTCGTGCCTCTGATCGACAGGTGAGTTTCTGCGATCTGGCGTCTTTTGGCCGGGCGCTGGATGCGGAGATGTTTATATACCTGTCTTTATTTAGGTATATTTTTGTACGCCTGAGACCATTCGCACACCAGTGACTGTCCCTTTTTCAACCCTTCCAGTCCCACTCATGTGCATGTCCAACCCATGCTAGAGTCATTCAGGGGACCCACCTTTTTTTGTGTTATGAAGTGTGTGGGTTATGGTGCTGGTTATGTACTCACCTGGTAGGGCTCTCCTGGGTCCCGCCTATCTGGAAGAACTTGTGGGATAGTACCAGTGGAGTGCAGTGGTGCTATAGGCACAATCGGGGAACACTGTATAACCATCAGAGGTCTGAGGTTTTTACACGACCTACTTGCGAGCATACGCCATATTGCCGGTACGTCCATGGACTTCTAGGGCACACTAGCCTGTTTTCGACTATAAGTTCCGGCCCATCCTGGTTGTGGGGGGTATATGGGCCTGCGGGCCGCTCCAAGCAGCTGCCTGGGGGGTCACCCTCTGGCCGGTCTAGCCTAGCCTCGGGCCGGGCTTGGGGTGTAAATGAGCTTCCAGTACCCCATCCAGCAGGTATCGAGCGGGATTCTCCGCCGTTGGTCGCCTGGTGTGCAGGTTTCTGGGCCTGCTGGGTTCTGTCGTGTCTCCGTTGGCCCTGTCTGGGGTCTGCCTGCTCCGTTCTCTGCCTTTGCAGAAGAGAGTTGCTATTTACATGTTGCATGTTGCAGTGGTGCCTGATGCTGCTGCTGCACGTGTGCATTGGTACCGTATTTCGCGGTGGTGTGTCCTTGTTCCTGTGTCCGGTTGTGGTGTGGCACCTTGTGGCTGTTTTGTGCCTAGGGTTTGTGTATGGGGGTTTGCTTGTTGTTTTTCATGGTCTTCGGGTTCCTGGCTTGGCCCTCTCATGTGCGTGGGGTTTTTCTGTCCCTGCCTGATTGTCCACCCCTGGTTGTTTTCCTGGGGTTTTTGTGCTTCAGCTCTTTCATCCTGCCTCTCCCCAGTCGTTTTCCTGGCATCTCCTTTGGTCGGTTTCCACCGCTTCTTTTCCTCGTGCATTCCCTTGTTTCCTCCTCTGCCGCAGGGGTGTTCGGCGTGTGTTCCTTGGCTTCTTGGGTGTTTTTTCGGCCTGTGTCCTGTGGTGTGCTTCTTTGTCTCGGTCTGGTGCAGTTGCTTGTACCCCTTAGTTCTGGTACTGTTCTGGCGGCAACCCTTCCGCCTTCTTTGGTTTCCTAGCTAGCCCTGCCGGTTGTTTTTTCGGGGTCTTGCGATGTCTCGCGTCGGACCCGTTGTTTTTGAACTCCTGGCGGGCTTGCTTGCTTTGGGGAGTTTTTCTGTTCGGCAGACGTTCCATCTCCTTGTGCCGCCTGGGTTTCGGTGGTCGCGCCCGAGATCTTCCCGCAGCTCCAACTTTTCCTGGGCTCGGAGGGGCCTTGTCGGGGCTGCTTACGTTCTGCCTCGCGGTCTCGCCTCCGGGTTGTGGTCGGGTGGTTTCGTGGTAGGTGTCTCACCTGCGTAATTCTCTTGGCGGCAGTATGGGGTATTTTGGCAGTCCTTCCTTATCCTGTCCCTTCTTAGGTGGCTACTCTTGTTAGCGTCGGCTTGGTTTTCTGGTGGGGGTTGGGGGCCGTCGTCTTGCCGCATACTGTTGCCTCTTTCGTGCGGCGTTGGCGGAGCCGCTTCGGCTTGCTTTCGGTCTTGGTGTTGCTTTTGCACCGTTAGTAAGCTGTCTCATGCGTCGTTTCACCTCCGGCCTGTTCGTGCGCCGCTTGCACCGTCCTGGTCTCTGGTCAGCGTGCTCTGTCTTCTCCTCGGTTGGTAGGGCCCCTTTGGTTCTGGTTTGTTTTTTCGTCGGCTCTTTTTTTCCTTTTGGCATTTGCCTCTGGGGGTGGAGTCGCTGAGTTTTCTTGCTCTTTCGGTTTTAGCGTTTTGGATGTTCGGTGGCAGCAGTCTACATCTTTTCTGGCGCGGGGTGGGGCTGCTGTGTTCTGGAGGGGTCCATGTTTTGTTGGTGCTTGGTTGGTCGGGCTGGGGGTGTGTCGTGTTTTGTGTTCAGTGGCGGCCCTCCGCTGTTGTTTGCGTGCCACGGCATCTGTGTTCGGGGCGCGTTTTGCGTTGATCTGGTTCTGTTCTTCCCGGTTCGCGGGTGATGGTGTCCCGGGTTGTCAGCCGTGTTCTTGTGGCTCAGCTGCCTATGTTCTTCCCTCATGCCCATGGCATTCATGGCTTCACTGCTCTCGCTGCCATCTGAGCGACGTGTCCTTGCGGTCATTCGGGCATGGATCTTTGGTGTTCGTACGGGGGCCTTGCTGCTTGTTCTCGTGTTGTTCCCAGGACTTTTTGGGGCTGTGGGGCCTTGGGTTGGCATTTGCTGCCGGTTGTCTCGCTTCCGTGGGGGGGTGCGTGGTGTCCACCTCCCGGTTCCGTCCCTTTGACCTTCCTCTGGGGGTAGTTAGCTCCGGGAAGCCGACGGGGCTCCCTCCAGAAAATCAGCGTTGAATGTAATGAAACGCCATTTTCTGGGTGAGACCCGGAGGCTCCCGGCAACCCTCCCTCCCTCCGGTCGGCGGTTTTTGGCGTGTTTTGACATCCAGCCTCAGAACTGATGGGTGGATAGCCGGTGTGGGAGGTCTGGGGCTCCCCTTCCCCCTCCCAGGGAGGGGGGAGCTGCGCAGACAGCAGCGCAGTGACGTGTGACGTCATACTAGTTTGCTTGTTTTCTGTTGGGGAGTTCTATCCACTAGTTCGGCTTTAGGTAGCAATTTTAACCAGAATAGGGGCTTGTTTTTGAATGCTTACCTTTCTGGATGCTTGACCCGGTCGATGGCAGACATAGAATGCTTCCAACCACACGGGGGTTTCTATAGGCCATTGCTCCCCTTGCCTCTCTGAGGGGGCCAGGTTCTGGCCGTGGTCCCTGGTAGGCCCTAGAACCCCATACACATGACTGATGCCAAAGTCTGACATTAGCATATCAGCCTGGTAAAGCTCCGGGGAGCCAACGGGTCTCACCCAGAAAATGGCGTTTCATTACATTCAATGCTGGGTTTTTTATGAGCCTCTGCTGGATAGTGTTTACTTGCTCAGCCCTCACCTTCCCATGGGCACCATTCTGTATTACAGTACATATAAAAAGCAGCTTTCTGAGCAGATGATTTAGTTGCTCATGGACCCTCCCTTTCCCTTTTCACCTGTACTTAAAGATAGTTCTTAGTGTCAGGTCATATGTGGGCTGGCTCAGGTGAGTGAATCCGATAGTAGGTATGGTACTGATACCTCATGGTGTTCAGCGTAGATAGTCAAGGAGTCCAACTAGTAGTTAGCAGGAGCTCTTGTTCATGATCACTTTGATGCCAAGAGAGTTCAGAAAAGCTTTGAAGTTTTATTGATTGACCTCCAAAGATCATTCTGGATTAGACAGAATATTCTCTGGTTTTCACCCAGTATATCTATGATCCTACAGGAATGATTGAAAATATCCCGTGTTATCATGATGTATGTGATCCTGCTTGATTGCGCATTTCCATCCATGGACATGGCTAATTTTAAAAAAGGCAGCTTTTTGAGCTGCTTTTCAGCTCAGTCTGAGTTGAGCTAAGACTATTCAATGGCTCAATCGACAGAGCTTCGGCCTCACATGCGTGGGGATTTCATGGTTTGAGTCCCCTAGAGCCCAGGTGAAGGGAATGGCTAATTTACTTTTGGGAGCAATCAAATGCTAATCAGAATGTCATTTTCATATATACTGTAGTACAGTACCATCAATGCCTTATTTATTCTTTAGATTGTTACTTACATTTCTGAGTTTCTTTGGTTTCACTAAACATGAAGAATTCATGAAGCTAACCTAAATGCACTCCTTTTTCAGTGGTAGATGAATTTTACACTTGTTGTTGGCCCTTGGATTGGTTAGTGCCATCACTAAATATACCAGTGAGAGTAATTGCTGTCAACTTTAAGTGTGGGTGGTGGAGATGGGAGAAAGAGTGCTCAATTGAGGGTAGAGGGTAAGTAACATAGATCTAATGGTTTTTTTTTTAATTAAGCCCCTTAAAATGTACAGCACTGTACAGTGCAGTGAATGTTTAAATTTGTGTTATCTGGCAGCATCAGTATTGATGCCTAATAAGATGCAGTAAACTTATTACTATATTGCACTACTATACATGTTGTTTTAACATCATAAACTCTTCTATGGTTAATTATTCTGTTGCTGGGCACACCTCCAACACCACATTGCTGTCAGGGACAAATATGTTTGCAAATATTCTTGACACCTCACCACGCTTGGGGATGGGAGACAAGGTAGATCAAAATTAAGTCCACTGCCTAAGAGACAACTGGCTTTAGTACCAAAGACTGGCAACTAAAACTTGAACAACACTTTAACAAATTAACTGGTACTATAACATAAGGAAGGCCAGTTAAAACTCCCAAACTCCCCTGCAATAATTACTTCCTACTCTGACCACTACTAGATGGCAGCATCACCACCACAGCAAATGTGGAGAAGCTAGATGCTCTCCTTAGTTTCTTTACTTCCTCCTGTTTTCCTTCTCAGCTTTAAAGAGCCCAGTTAAAGTTTATTTCCAGAGTTATGTGGGTTACAAGGTTATTTTCCACAACACTGATTGTCAAAGATCAACAACCATGAAAGGTATCTCCTTTACTGATTTTTTGATTCTGTGACTGACATAACTCTGTGCATAGTCTTTTTCTCTTGATCTAGAATACTTCTCTGGCTGCAAGTTGATCTGAGGTCTAGGCCTTGGAGCAGTCATGTTTACATACTTCCAAGACCACTCATGTTTGTACCACCACAGGTCTGCATGTATCAGCTCTCACATGCTGGTTTTCACTTAACGTAGGAATGATATTTTTGTCCTTTCTGTTCAGACTGTGGCTGCTCATTTCTTTCCCCATATTTGTTATTACCTAAGTGTAGTTACAGGATGAGAGCTACCCTCATGGTGTCCTGTCTTCCCAGTACTGTCATATAATGCCTTGAAACTACTGATGGTTTTGGCCTCCACCACTTTCTCACTTGTTCCAACCATCTACCAGTCTAAATTCCTTGTGGTATGAGGTTTGGTGCTCACATGCAAATTACTTGTCTCTTGAGCTTAGTCTGCTGCTTCTGACTTTATTCTTGGATTATTACTCAGTACCTGATTCATAAATCATAAATCTTTCTGGGATGTAAGGCTGCTATGTTTTCCCTGTTATGTTCAGCATACCCATGTTAGGTTCAGGGTCACTTCCACCTGTTACTTGTGTGTGATTTGTCAGAGGTGGACTGCAATCCTACTTGAATCCCCTTCCTACTGAATTGCATGAAGCAGTAGCACACCCTTGGCATGTGCATTTCATTACAAGTGTTTGCAGTTCCTGCTTTTGCTAGCATAGATTTGATTTGCCTCCTCTTTTTTTTTAAATATTGAATGGTTGATTGCTTTGACTTGGATCTCTTTGAGGCTTGCTAGGTGTGGCTGTCCATTATATCACTATTATAATCCACACCAAGTTGAAATTTTGTAGTGTTGGCCTATAATGATTACTATTATTATAAAATGGAATGAAGAGCACAGACCAGTTTTTAAAACAGTAAGAGGGTTTAGTATTAGTACAGTGAAAAAGTGAAGATGTTTGTTAATGGCTGTTGGTTAACCACTGCACTGCTCTGCATTAAAATACGACAAACCCCTGGTGCGTAGAAAATATGTTCTTTCTAAAAAATTATTTTCTCTTCTAATATTGTTAAAATACAGTCTCTGATCATGGGAAACTAAAAATAAAATATTGTATGTGACATACTTTAGCTGCAATAGAGCTGGGAAGTTGAGCATATAATGGGCGCTGAACGATGGAGCGCTCAGGGTCACTAGGCCCTCCCACCCCGTGGGGCGGCAGTGGCCGCAAATATAATGTTTCACAATTATTTTGATGTTTCTCATTCGTTTCTTCTCTTTTTTTTTGTAATATTATTCAAAAGTGTGTAATTTGTGGAATTTATATAGTTCAAGTGTGAAATATCGCTATGCTGAAAATTATGGGGTTCATGTATGTGACATGTATATTATATTTTACGATCAATCAAACAGTGATTTTGCTATTATTACACTATATGCACATATTGTATATACCTATCTACATATTTGTTCACCATAACGAACCACTAAGTTGGTATATTGAGCCCAAAAAACAAGAGTGAGCTGCCACACCCAGCCAGCCCTCCCTCACTCCTCCAACACCTTACTCGCCAACATTCCTCCTCCCACCATACTGTTATTTTTATTACACTATTTACACATGTATAAGTATCTACATGTTTTATTAACCATAACTATACAACTAAACTGGTATTGTGTCCAAACAGCACAGTGGCCACCATACACTGCATTACAAGTCACACAGCAGATAACACTACGAGTACGATGCCACCTCCCTCACCAAAATGGCTCCTCCTACCATACTCCTGTTACTGTTAATACACTATATACACACATTATATAAGTACAGTATTGACATTTGTGTTCACCATAGTGAACCACTAAGCTAGTATTGGTGAGCCCAAACAAAAGTGGCTGCCACACACAGTGACGCTACCTCGATTCCCTCCCTCCTCACCAAAATTCCTCCTCCCACAATACTACGCACAGCGCTAATTATCACCACAATTCTGCTATTATCACAAACCTGGTCACTAAATGCTGTAAATGAATAATATACCATAAGTTTATTTCTGGGGGAAGCCCCTATGGCTCCCTGGAGCTATCCAGGCTGATATGGATACCCTAACTATTTTGCATCAGTCAATGTGGGTGGAGTTCTAGGACTACCGGGGACCACGAGCCAGAACCTGGTCCCTTCACAGAGGCACGAGGAGCAATGGCCCATAGAAATGCACATGTGATTTGGAGCATTCTATAACTGCCATCGACTGGGACAGGCACCCAGAAAGGTAAGCGCCACAAAATAAACCCCTATTCTAGTTAAAACAACGAAAAACACCAATGAGTGGCCAGAACTCTTCCCCCCCAAAAAACGAGCAAACAAGGATGACTTCACCGGAGCCGCGCCACATGTCTGCGCAGCTTCTCCCGTCCTCGTAAGGGGGAGCCCCAGACCCCCGTGCTGGCGATCCACCTCTCAATTCCTTGGCTGCTAGGATAGTGTACAGTCGTGTGATTCCAGCCTTTCCTGTCCGAAAGGGTCGTGCCTGGGCTCACGGTTTCGTTCGTCGGGGTTGGCCACAGGTGTCTGGTTCAGAGCCAGTGCCGCCTGCGGTCCCGGCTGCGCATGGTCGGCGCCGTGTTTGCTCTGCGCACAGGTCGGATTCTTGTAAGGGGCAGCGGCCCTTTCTTGGTTCGCCCCATTGATGGGGCGGTGGAGGGAGACTTGCTCTGTTCGCTCACGCCTGGTCTCATGATTTGTGGGTTTTTCGGGTTGTTTCTCGTGGCGTTGGTTGGCTCCTCCTCCTCCGGGGGGTTCTGGGCTGGCAGGGCAGGTTTCCTCTCCTGTGCTCTGTCAGGTCATCTTGGAGTGGGTGCGCTTGGGCGTGGTTGAAACGACGACGTCTCTCAGGTGGGTTTTCCCGGCTGTTTCCAGCCCTGAAACGGGACTGTGCGGACCTACTGTTCATTTTGGACTAATCCCGTCTGAATCCTTGGGTTTCTTGCCCCTTGTTTCGGATGACCACTCTGTCCCAGGTCCTACTTCTGTTGGAGCCGGGCGCTTGGATGGTGTCCCTGGACCTCAAGGACGCATATTGGAACATCCCTGTTCATCTGGGGTTCAGGGACTGACTCGGTTTTGTTGTGGGCGTCAGTGTTACTGCTTTCGTTGTCTCCTGTTCGGTTTGAATCTGGCACCTCACGTGTTCACATACCTTACCTGGGTCACAGTGGCCCGTCTGCATCTGTTAGGTGTTTGGGTGTTGGCTTACCTCGACGACTGGTTGGTTTGGGCTCCCAGTCGGTCCATGTGTCGGCTTGCCAGGGACTCAGTGCTTTCCCAGCTTGCCGGGTTCAGGTTCCTGGTGAACTGGAGGAAGTCCCATCTGGCTCCCTCCCAGGTTCAGTACCAGCTGGGTCTTGTGTGGGACTCTTGGACCGCTTCCTTGTCTCTTCCTCCGGCGTCTCTCCTTCAGCTGCGGTCCCGCCTGTGCTTCTTTATAGGGGGGCTCCCGGGTCACCTGGTGGTTGCTCGAGGGTCTGTGTGGGAGCCTGACCTTTGTGATGTTGGTCTACCCGCCAAGGCAGGTGTGGCTTCGTCGGCTGTTCTGGTTCCTTCAGGGATGTCCGTTCCATCTCTCTCGCGATCGCTGGATTCGACCCCCGGGGGCCTTGCGTCGGCTGTTGCATCGCCGGCTTCCTCTTCGGGTTTTTCTGGGTTAGAGGTTATCTTGAGATGATTTCAGGGCTTTAGCGTCCCCACAAACCCAGTCTTTGACCAGGCCTCCTTTTTGTTACACACCCCCCAGGAAGCAGCCCGTAGCAGATGTCTAAATCCTAGGTAACTATTTACTGCTATGAACCTCAGGACTATGAATCCGAAGCGCTGTCCACCCAGCTGTTTAGGAAGTTCTTAAAAGGGTTCGATGCCTTGGCGTCTGCCCGTGCCCTCGCTAGAAGACTACATGGACGCATCATCTCTAGACTGGGGTTTTGTGACCAGTGCTCACCAGGCCTGCCAGGGGCGATGGGGTCTGTCCTTCCGTCGGGCCCACAGCATGGTGCGGGAGTTTGCGGCGGTGTTGTTTGCGCTTCGGAGGGTTCGGGTTGCCCGCGGATCAATGATCTGGCTCCATTCGGACTGTTCCCCGGTGGTTCATTGCCTGTACCGAGGGGGGTTCAATGCGGTCATTGGCTCTTTAAAGCTGGTCGCTTCAGGTGACTCGTCTGCTGAGTTCTCGGGGTTTGGCTCTCCTGGCAGTTCACGTCGTGGGTGTGTCCAATACCTGACAGACGGCCTGTCCCGTTTTGTTCCCCTGTCCACGGAATGGGTGGTCGATGCCGACTCATTCAGTTGGCTCTGCCAGGTGTTCGGGCGCCCGGAGGTGAACCTCTTCATGTCGGCGTAGTTGAGGTGTCTTCCGGTATATGTGGCGACCTTCCTCGACCGCCAGGCTGTCGGGATCGATGCCTTTCAGCTGAACTGCTCGAGGTGGAGGTTTCTGTGCCTCTTTCCCCGGTTCAGTTGTTGCTCCAGGTCCTGGCTCACTTGGAGACTTACCAGACGCTTTCAACACCGCATCGGTGTTGAAAGATAACGCAGGTGTTTGGGAGCCAGAGGCGCGTGCGCTACCCATGGTTGCTCATTCAATACTAACCCAGCCAGCAGCCCTAGGGCATTCTGGGAGTTTTTTCCAAGATGGCTGCCTCTGACTGGAGGTCCTAAGAGTCCATTTCGTATACAACCAACCTCGTACACATTTAGAATTGGTACCGAAAAATCAAAGAGTTTTTTCTCGGTTAGCACAGTTTCCCGCCGACCGAGAATACTCAGTTGGCGCAGTTAAGTAGTTAATGATGGGTCTCCACAACCAAAGAAACTTGGTCCAATGGAAAATCATATGCACCAGTATGATTCTGATCTAATTAGTGTCTTAGGTAACAAATTAAGTATCCAATTGAACAAGATAGTTTTATTATTCCAGATTAATATTAATACCAAATCATGTTTTTTTTAAATCGTTTGCCTTAATAATAGCATTAATTTAAAAAGTAGAAAGTAATAGTGAAAATTGTATGCACAAGCAGGGAATTGAGCCAGTCATTCTTTTCGAGTGGATATAAGTACAGTACAGTACTTGCTGTTGTGAAATTTGCATGTCTTGTCTTTTTCAGAAATTTTCTGTGGGGAGCCCCTACGGCTCCCTGGAGCTTATCGGGCTAATGTATGTTATATTAGACCGGGACATTAGCTAAGGAGTTCAGACCTACCAGGGACCAGCGCCAGAACCTGGCCCCTTCAGAGAGGTTTCAGGGAGCAATGGCCCTGGAAAACCCCCTTGTGGTTGGGGTTTTCCCTATCTGCCATCGACCGGGGTTAGGCACCCAGAAAGGTAGGCATAACAAAACAAACCCCACATGGTAAAAAACTAAAACAAAAAACCGAACAGAGAGGTAGAAACTCCTTACAATCCTAAGGAAACAAGCAAACATTACACTTTACTGCCGCGCCGATCGTCCGCGCAGCCCTCCCCGCCCCGAGAGGGGGAGGGGGGAGCCCTGGACCTACCGCGCCGGCTGCCTAGCATCAGTTTGTAAGCTAATGTCAACCGGGATAGACGCTTCTCTGGCCTCAGTTTCCTAGGCTGTGTTTGCCTAGTGTGGCGTTCACTGCCGTGTGTTGTGTTGTGTGGTGGCCAGGTGTTCCTCATCAGTACTGGGGCTGCATGTGCTTAGGGGCTTCCTTCCCTAAGCGCCCTGTGAGTACTGCCCCTGTGTGACAGGGTTATCATCCCTGGGGCGTTCGGGAACCATTCCCGTAGAGGTTCTTGCTGCTCGGCATTTGCCTCGCCCTTGGGGCCAGCTGGGGCTTGGGGCCCTTGTTTGGCCCTGGGGTAGGGACTGGTATTGTGCTGGTTAGGGCGTCAAGATGTTGCGCGATCTGCCACCTAAGCAGTAACCGGTTCCTGTTGCCTCTGGAGACAGTGTACTTTTGTGGGGTTTTCTTTTGTTTTTATTTTCATTTGCCTGGTGGGGTCTGCCTAGTGTGGCTATAGTTCCACTCGTGTTCGGTGGCCCTCTGCTAAGCCCCATGATTGTACACGTCGCAGGGGTTTTCAGTGTTGTCCTCTACCCCCTTGTTATTTTTGGGTGTTTAACCAGTTAGCAACACCTTGCCTGGGCTTCCTGTAGTTGTTACCCCTACGGGCCCTGGAAACCCCTGTCGGGGCTCGGTGGACCATTGTATGTGTCTTCCGGGTCCCAACCCATCTTGTACTGGATTGTTGGTTGCTGTGCCCTTGTCTCCGAGTGACAGTCGCCACTTTTACCTCCATCGTGTTGCCTGTTGGGTCACTGACACCTTGACCCGGAGTCTTGCGAGAGAGA